CCGCCGCCTCAGCGCCGGCAACGGTCGGGGCGCGCGCCCGCCCCCGCTCAACCACCCCGCCCCTCTCCTTTGCGCGCTCCCGCCCAAGCACCCACCACAACAACCGACGCCCCGCCCCCCGCCCCACCAATCCCGCCTCGGCACCCCCCCCTCCGCCATTGTATGACGGGAGTTGTAGTCCAGCCGGCGCAGAGGGCTGCAGGGGGTGGGGCGGGCTGTCGAGTGAGGGAACTACAACTCCCGGAAGACCTTGCGGCGCAGAGCCGATCGCCTCAGGGTGAGGGGAAGCGGAGAGGGCTGAGGGCTTAGAGGCTTTGCCTCCCTTCAGCCGGCTCGGCTGTGCCGTGGCCGGCCTCTCCCGCCGTGTACCTTCTCCGGTAGCCGTGGCTCTCCCCTCAGGGGTCCTGGCTCCGTCCTTCTCCTGGTCTGGGTTCCCCGGTGTGGCGGTTACCGGCCTCACTGGCGGGCAGCCGTGTCCACTCAATGTCACATAGCACTTGGCACCTGGTTCTGCATTTTCTCCGTACTCCTGAAATGCCGAGGGAACAAATTCCCTATAGCATTAACCAGTATTTTTGGCCTCTGCTCAGCAGCTGACCCAAAAGGAGATGTTCTTTTGAGATGAAAAAAAAAAAAAAAAGAAAGAAAAATGTCTACTTTTTTATAAGATCTTCAAGTCCAAACAAATGCAATGTCCAGAAATAATTCAGGTCTCCTTTATGCATAGGTTTTTGTCTTTCTTGGGAGGTAACACAAGAATACTGGTACTCAAGGCACTGGTGTAGATCTAAGGTTAAAGAAGTTATATCTCTGAGTGGTCCTTTCTCCATGTTTAGTGAAAATAGAAAAAGAAGACAAGCAGAGAAAACTATTACTCATGATACAGGATACTACTCATGATACAGGAGTCTACAGGAAGCCTGGGGAAAGGTCTGCAGTGACAGGACGAGGGACAATGGCTTCAAGCTGGAGGGGAACAGATTTAGACTGGAGATGAGGAGAGGGTTCTTCACTGTGAGGGTGGTGGAGCACTGGAACAGGTTGCCCAGGGAGGTGGTTGAGGCCCCTTCCCTGGAGATATTCAAGGTGAGGCTCGACGAGGCCCTGGGCAACCTGGTCTAGTTGGGGGTGTCCCTGCTGACTGCGGGGAGGTGGGACTAGATGACCTTTGGAGGTCCCTTCTGGCCTGGACAACTCTATGATTCTATGATTCTATGGCCTTCAGAAGGCCTGAGCCGGGAGGGCTGGGTGGAGGGTCCCTCCTTTTGCTTGAGGCAAAAATAAAAAGAAGTAAGGCATAGTATATCACTTGCTACCCCACTAAACAGGTGCTCTCTGCCTTCTGGGTGATCTGTATGAAGAAAAGCTTTCAATATCTGAAGGGTGCCTATAGAAGAGCTGGGGAGGGACTCTGCCAGGAAGGGTAATGATAGGACAAGGGGAAACGGTTTTAAATTGGAAGAAAAAAGATTCAGATTAGATATCAGAAAGAAATTTTTTACTCTGAGTGTGGTGAGACACTGGAACAGGTTGCCCAGGGAAGTAGTGGATGCCCCATCCCTGGAAGTGTTCAAGGCCAGGCTGGATGTGGCCTTGAGCAACCTGCTCTAGTGGGAGGTGTCCCTGCCCATGGCAGGGGGGTTGGAACTAGATGATCTTTGAGGTCCCTTCCAACCCAAACCATTCTATGATTCTATGATTCTATGATTCTATGATAAGCTAAAATCCCCTGGCTTGGCCCCTCCTTGAGCCTCTGAGGTGGACTTCGATGCTGCTGAGCACATCATCTCTTCCCTCTGAAGGGATAATGGAAACGGTGCTGCCCCAGGGGACAAGCTCGTTGTTGGGAAGTGTTTCCAGATGGGCTTCAGCAGCAATTACATTGCCATTAGGAGAGAAATAATAAACCCTCAGCTCCCCTTCCCAGGCCGCTTCAGTTCTAATCGAGTTGCCCACCTCCAAGCAGAAGGCCACGGTGGTGACCACATCCCGCAAAGCGTCCTCATCCCGCTGAGCATCGTCGTCCTGCAGAGCATCATCGTCCTGCAGAGCATCCTCATCCCACTGAGCCTCATGGTCCTGCAGAGCATCCTCATCCCCGCTGCTCATCCTCACAGAGGTTGCCATAGTGACAGCAAGCACTGCAGAGGGATGTGAGGCTTCAGGGGAAGATGGGCAGAGGGTGGTGGGGCTGCTGCCCAGGGGACACTGGACGTGAAGGGAGGTATGAAACACCAGGGTTGTGAGCAGCACCAGCTTCTGGGGGAGATGGAAAGAGGGACTGAAGGGAGAGGAAGACATAATGGAGGGATGACAAAGATTTGGGGAGACAGTTTGGGGTACCCAAGTGGCACAGCAAAGGATGTTGTTGACAACTAAATATAGAAGGGAATGATCCATCATAGGAAAGCTTAGAAATCTCAATTTATTGTCTCTCCCCTTCAAAGCTCTAAAGTCTGTGTCCTGAAGAGACCTCCTTCTTGGCTGTAGACTGAAACAAATCCTCCAGTCCAGAGGTCTGACGCGGGTGTGTTAAATTGGTCTATTATAGTAAATTACTGATAGAAGTCAACAGAAGATAAAGATAAAAAGAAGGAAGTAAGTCAACATAAGTCTTCTGTTATCACTAAAGGACTATCCTAAGGTTGTTTCTGGGACAGAAGGAGAAGAAGAGTCTGGACGCTGATAAAATTAGAGTGAGGAAATCAGGCGTAATGGATTACCCAAACTGTGAGCGGGATACTCCATTTCTGGATGGATTTGGGTGATCCATCCTGTGTTACTGATGCTTGGAGAAGGAGTGGGCCTGCAAAACCGTAGGGAAGGGCCCTACGATCAGAGGTGCCAGAGGTGACACTTCCAGCCCAACCCAAGAACAGGACTTCACAGCTCCACACTTCCCACCAGCTCTGGCTTCAACCCATGGGCTTCTGTACCCGATGCCACCCACTCCCCCATGTTCTTTCCTCTCCCATTCCTGTTTTTTCCTCTTTCTCCCACATCTCCACATTAAGAGGTGGCATCTGTAGCATCCTGAGCCCAGCAGTCTGATTAAAACCCTGTCCCAAACAGCAGGGTGCTGGCACATTTCTCCAGATCTCAGAAGAGCTGACAAGGGTGGCTCCTGCAGTGAATTTGCACCTGAGAGTCAACATGAGGTGCAGCGCCTGCTTTTCATACCTTTGCTGCTCTTTTCTCCTCCTTTGTGTTTTGTCTTCAAGGAAAGAAGGCTAGAGCCCAGCGTAACAGGAGCTGCAGCCCATAAAACCTTTGTTTCCTCCCCAAAAAAAGGACAATGGCCGTGTTAAATATATCTCCAAAGCCTGCCAAACAGGAGGATTTCTTACAAAAACTCTGAGCTATTTGGAAAAGCAGTAAAAGAGGTTGTTAAAATGAAACTTCACGCTTCAATTATTCCCTCTTTTTTTTTTTTCCCCTATGTGCTTAACGAAAGCCTTAAATTCTTCTGAATGGTGAATTTTTTGCCGTCAGAGCAGGGCAGGCTCTTTCTGTACATGAAACCTTGAACCTCGTTGAGTGCTTTCACACAGGACAGCGGCCACAGCCAGCCTTATCAGTGCTGAGCTACATAGATTAAAGGCAGGATTTTCCCTTCAGATATCTAGATAGGAGAACTACCATTCTCTCAGATGTCACTGCTCCTCCATGATTATTTCCCCGAAGAACAGATAAAACAGCTTCGTAGAAGAGAAGAGCCTCCGCTGGAGAGGCTGAGGGAACTGGGATTATTCAGCCTGGAGAAGAGGAGGCTGAGGGGAGACCTTATTGCTCTCTACAACTACCTGAAAGGAGGGTGTAGAGAGGTGGGGGTCGGTCTCTTTTGTCAAGTCACAGGCGACAGGACAAGAGGAAATGGCCTCAAGTTGCACCAGGGGAGGTTCAGGCTGGATATTAGGAAAAAATTTTTCACCCAAAGGGTCATCAGCCATTGGAATGGGCTGCCCAGGGAGGTGGTGGAGGCACCATCCCTGGAGGTGTTCAAAAGCCGGGTTGATGTAGTGCTGGGAGGTCTGGTTTAGTGATGATGCTCCTTGTTTGTTGTGTGGGTGTCTATTTTTGTCAGTCAGGTTGACGGTTGGACAAGATGATCTTGAAGGTCCCTTCCAACCTAGAAGATTCTGTGATTCTGTTATTTCTTTCCCAGGAATAACCACAGCGTGGAGGGTTTGAAACTTCTCAGGGTCTCGTTAATGCATCTGAAGTCAGAGAGTGACGATCTGCCTTCCAAATATTTCCCTGTGAGAGGAGTTTTGTTGGCTGGATCCAAAGCACCTCGGCGCATACAGCAGATGCCAGGAAGCCCGAGCACCCCCAGAGCAGGGCAATCATATAAAAAGATTATTGGTGATATGGCTTAGATGGTGTTTACGGAGATTTGCTGTGTTTGCCTGGAGAAAACACTGACCTCACGGGAGATGACAACTGCGTCCGAGGTATTTGAGGGTTAAGCAGCCACCAGAAGAATATTTTAAGAAGATTATGTTGCTACAGGAAAATTAAACTGATTGCCATCTGTTTTTGTGCTGTCGCAGGGAGCGATAGCGAAGAAATCAGCATGACTCTGGCCTGTGCTCTGCTGGGGCCTGGCACATCACAGCTCTCCAGGGCACTTTGGGGTGGTCGCAGAGCCTCCCCACACTCACTGGCCTTGCACAATGCCAGCAGAAATCTCTGTTTTCACCTATTATTAACGACAAAAATTTCAGCCTTTACGGCTGTGGAGGAGAGCCAGAAAATAGGAAATTATTATGCGAGTGAAGGAAAGCCAAGATTTTTGAGTTTTCACCCTCGCGTATCGTCTCGCCTAATTGAGGCACAGCATGCTCAGACCAAACTGAGCAGCAGCAAAACAGTCTGGGGGCTAAAAGCCACAGGAGAGGCCACGTTGCCAGCCATGGATACGAGCCAGGCTGGGAGGAGAAGGGCTGACAGGCTGCTGGCAGCCGCCGGCTCGTCTGCTGGGAGCTGCCAGAGCCAGCGGGGGACCGTGGCAGGGCTCGGCTGGGGGGAATGACTTCTCCCTGGCCAAAACGAGCGTGTGTATCCCCATATTTCACTGAATTTTAGAGTTGGAAGGGACCATAGAGATCATCTAGTCCAACTCCCCTGCTGAAGCAGGATTGCCTAGAGCTAGAGCATGTTACTCAGGAGCATCCAGGCGGGTCTTGAAAATCTCCAAGGAAGGGGACTCCACACCCTCCCTGGGCAGCCTGTTCCAGGGCTCTGTCACCCTCACCGTGAAGAAGTTTCTCCTCATGTTTGAGTGGAACCTCTTATGTTCCAACTTGTGCCCGTTGCCCCTTGTCCTCTCACTGGGAACCACTGAAAAGAGTCTGGCTCCCTCCTCCTTCAACCCTCCCTTGAGATACTTGT